TTGGAACTTACAGAACTAATCGTAAAAGAGGAAGGAAATTGCAGAAAGTCACTATTTTGGCCCACTTCATCTTGAAACACATTGTTTAATAGTTTTTAAAAATCTGAAAGAGTAAGAAGGTTGACCCAGGACAAATTCTTACTCTCTATGCTTTGCGTAAGTATTCCACCAAACATTTGTGATCGGATAGAGAGGGGATTAGACAGGGAATTAACCAAGGGGCCGAGACGAACTCTCTGATGCTACCACCACCATGCTGTGGGGATGGTGTTATCAGGGTGATGAGCAGCATTGGGTTTCTGCCAAACAGAGGATTCCTGCCAAGGCCAAAAATTTAAATTTCTGGTCTCATCAGACCAGAGAACCCTTTTCCACATGTTTGTTGAGTCTCTTGCAAATGGGACTTCATATGGCTCACCACTTTTCCATAAAGCCCAGCTTTGTGGAGTGTCCAGGCTATGTTATGCTTCTCCCATTTGAGCTGAGGATCTCTTCCGCTCCTTCAGAGTTACACTTGGCCTCTTTGTTACTAACCAATAGCGAGTAGAAATCCTTTTAAAAAGAGCAATTTCTGTATGTTCTGTCTGTACTGTTGTCTTAGCCTATTTTAACAGCCCAATACATGTTATGAAGTTCATCCTGGAAGTTTGACCATTGTGGTTTTCCAGGTGAATGTGGTGTGTGACTGGATTACTCTGACTTGCATGCAAAAAAGACACTATTACAGAGAACAGAAATATACATATGTCAATGACTTTGAGATCGTGAGTATTCTTTTTTTTTATTTATTATGTTTTTTTTTTTTTTCAGTCTGTGCAGACATCATACATTGTATGTTGTGCTTAAAGCTGCATGTACTTAGATTACATTACTAAATCTGCACTGGGGACATGATGGATTCTTCTAGCAATATGTTTAACTAGCATTCAGACAATGTAGTCTGTACAAATGATCAATTAATCCATTTCTTTGTTTGTCTGTTAGTTGTCCAGTGATGTTCCATAGAAGCAATGCTGTCATGACCTGGAGATTTGCTGGATGGCCATTGATAGATGTTTAATACTAGTACTTTGATCCCTGTGCTGAACATTTTTGTTACTTTCATGCATCAATTAAATTAAATGTGAACAAGCCCACTCAGTTAACTGTCATTTTTATTTTTATAATTTTTTTATAGGTACAAAAGTGCTCTAAAAATGTACAAAATTTAATCTAGCAACAAATTGCCTATTGGTTATTGTGATTTTGTGGAGAGCACAGATGTCGCTTAACAATATATGAACAAAGACCATAGAGAAAACACTTCCCTCAGTAGTTTCTTGATGGAAGTGCCACTACACGGCATGGACATGGGCTTTCATTTCATTTTCAGCACCTCCCCTCATGACTCAACTGAGCACTTGTGGTGCAATTTGAGGGAAAAATATAGGTGAGTATATTTCTAAACAGGAACTGTAAAAGTAATGTGAAAAATGATATATTTTCACATACAGATGGATAAAACTAGATTGGAATGGCTTGTCTAAAGTTGTGTTGACTCTATTGCTTATGCAGGGAAGTCATAAAAAGGGGAAAGGTGCCCAGACAAGGGGCCATTTCTTTTTGGTGGATTTCTTCTTCTTCTATC